TTTTCTTTATCAACCAGTGTTGTCAGCCATATCAGTGGCCATCTTCATTGTGTCCATCCTCTTAGATCTGGCCAAAGTAGAACTTCCCTAACGAGAGAAGAGGCAAAGGAAAGCAGCCTAGTCACCTAGTCTTCCAAAAACAATAGGGCAGTAATTAGCTTGGCTTGTTCAGCCATTCAGCCCACAATAAAAGGCAATGAATGGCAATAAATGGAATGACACACAGAAAAATAGGTTTACAAGCAACATACCTTTAAACATTTTATTATCATTTTAAATGAGAAGGTTTAGACATTTAATTACATAAATGATAGTCCAAGAAGCTACTTGTCTGGACAGAAGGCATACCAACTTCAAGCACCAGAGTTAGGGTGCCTAGGAGCAACTTGGACACAGAAAGGTGCAAATTATAAATTCTTTTACAAAGCAACAATGTCTCAAATCTTCTGATCTTCCTCATGAATCTGCTTCCAAAGAGTAGAAAGTGTTCTGCTATCACTGAAGGAGCCACCATGACCGACAGCCCAGGAACCTCACAAGCAATCAGTAGGTACTTATTTACCTTCAGTGAAAGCAACCCTGTTTATTTCTGGACTTGCTTCTTACTTCACAAACAACCCTGAACCAACCACAGAGCAAAACACAAATGCCTCTAAAATTTAACATCAGTGCGGGATTTCCAGTTATATTTTTCAGATTTTCACATGGTCATCTCGCGATGTTATGATGCAGTGTTGAAGAAGCTCTAGATGTATTTGAAACCAGAAGTAAGAAGAGTTGGGGGTCTTCTCGCCACCATTGTTCAGTTCATCTCCAAATCTGTTTCCTCACCAGCTAACATAATGTCACCATTGTTATTAAGAATGACAATCAGGAAGGCATTGTTCCCATGCTTACATTTGAACAGGTTCTACGCTATTGGGCGTAAGAGGTTATGAGTTATGCTGAGACTTAATGCCAAACCAAAGAAAGAAAAGAGGAAGGAGTGAAGCTAGGAACATGGCCAAGTAAGATAAGAGACCCTAAGGAGTGTGGCCAGCAGTTCAAACTACAGTGTGTAAAGTGTCAAGATGGTCTCAAACTCAATCCAGACCAATATATATGGTGGTCTTAGCTGCTGAGTAGACACAGATCCTAGGGACCCCAGACAGACAAGTAGTATCAGCACACTAATTCTAGGTAGTCCTGGTTTAAAGCAGGATCCTAGCCCAGAAAAAAGTTTCTAGGAAGGGTTAAGGAGCATGTGTAGACTCCCGCCAAGCAGGCTAAGGTTCAAACCAGAGGGTAAAAATAATAAGGATCTAGGAGAAAGGCCACAGCTTCTACAGCAGTGGCCTGGCCCACCACCATCCCAAGTGCACAGAAAGCCAGGTCTAAGGCAGAAAGAAGAAATGGGGCTCCTAATATCTTCCAAGCTTTGATCAAGATTGGCTTAGGATCTGAACTGGCTAGTGGAAAGCCCTTATCCAAGAGAAGACCTGTGAGCGTTGGGGGAAATGAGGGACTGCTTTGAGATTCATTAAGATTCATCGATGAAGGTTCTTAGCACTCTGTCCTGAGGGCCTGAGGAAGTCCCTGAGAGGTCCCAATGCGAAAGAAAATGTAATATAATAATCATGATAGCCATTAAAACTAAATAAACATCTAGTCTAGCCTGAGGATTGGTGGAAAACTTTTTAAACCTTTTATGTTTCCTGAGTAGGAGAAAGATGTGGCAGCCTGCTTCCTTAAAGATTTACAGCCTTGGAAACCCTATGGCACGGTTCTCCTCTGTCCTGTAGGGTCAGGATGGGTCAGAATCGACTCAACGGCATTGGGTATGTTTCCTGAAAATTATCATTTATGTGAAAACCAATACTCCAAATTCTGCAATTCTGCCTATTTCCACTGTCAATAGGCAGAGAGTATGGCTTCTCGAAGGCCAGGCCTAGATACTGTCTCCTTAAAAAAATAAAAAAACCAAGCCTCTGGCTGGCAGGTGGGTGCCTTATACTTCTCTATACCCCCATACCTAGTACCCAAAAAAGAAAAAGACAGAAAACCAAACCCACTGCCATCGAGTCAATTCTGACTCATAGTGACCCTACAGGATAGAGTAGAACTTCCCCAAGGGTTTCCAAGGAGCAGCTGGTAGATTCAAACTGCAGACTTTTTGGCTAGCAGCCAAACATTTAACCACTGCACCACCAGAGCCCCGTATTACTGTCTCCTTAAGATAACCAAAAAGATTAGGGGCAAGGACAACAGTATTCCATGCCCTGTTCAGATCCACTCTGCAAGAATTTGGCTCCCAAAAATTTTAACCAGCTGCCATCTTGACACTTTCAAGTGAATCCAGTGATTACGTCTGTTCTTGGCCAGGAGCTTCATAACCAGCTTCTGCATAAAGGCTTAGTCATCATTTTCACTCTGTCTGGGTCTATGGCTAAAAGGTTAGTGGTGTTTTGTTTTACAACATGAGGGGAATTCGGTGCTTTGGGAACAGAATGGCTAACCCAGAACACAGGCCAGTGGTTTTCAACTCAGGTTACACAGAGAATCATCTGGAAAGCTTAAAAAATACCAGTGCCAGGGCTCCACTCCTAGAGATTCTGGTTTAATCGGTCTGGGGTAGGCAGTATGCCAGGGTATGTTTTAAAATCTCCACAGGTGATTCTACTGTCCAGCTAGCTGGAGAGCAGTGCTGCTTAAACACTAATGTGCATTTGAACCCCTGGTGATCTTACTGAAAACACAGATTCTGATTCAGTAGGTCTTGGGTGGAGCCTAAGATTCTGCATTTTTAACTAGCTCCCAGATGATGCCCAAGCTATTCGTTTGTGGGCCACATTGTGAGGTGTTTAGAGAATGGAAAAAGGTGTCAGGAAAGAAGGGCCCACACTCATTTCCTCTCACCCTGCTTGGAAGGTGAGGGCCCGCTGACCAGGGCAGCCCCCACCCCCACTCCCAGACCTGTGGCTCTGCCTGAGCAGTCTGTCGAGTTGAGCAGATGTTCTCAGAGCTCAAAGATGACCTTCTGAGTTAGCTGTGAAAACAAGCCATCATCCAAATGTACAGGGCCTCCAGTAAATCAGGGTGACACTAATGGGACGAGGGAGAGCAAATAAGAGTCAAGCAGTGAACTTTAAAAAAAAAAAAAAATGAATCTGCCTTTGTTTCACTTTGGCTCTGTACTTGCGGGGAAAGTCCATAAGCAGAAGCTTGTATTGCCCTATTAGTCAGATAGTGAGCAAGGGCCAGGACTGAGAGAGAGGGGGAGCGGCTCCAAGGAGGACGAGCTCCATGTACACAGCGTGGCCTAGTAGAACACACCTAGACAGTCCAATAATCTCTGCACACCTAAACCTGGGCCACTTTGAGAATGAACCCTGTGAGGTCCTCCTGCAGTGACTGCCATTGTCATCTACCTTCCTCTTCCTGACATACTACTTTCCTCGCCTCCCTGCCCTAATCAGATACATCCAGCAAGATGAACTCCAAACTCTGTATGACCTTCAGGACCCTCCAGAGTCTGAAGGCTATCCTTCAACCTTACCTTCCAGGACATTCTTCTTTTCTCTACTCCCAAGTTCAGGGGCCATCTCATCACTGGGCCTCTAAGTATGGCACCCCCCACCTGGAATAGTCTCCATGTCACTTTTCCAATAACTGAAATTTTACCACCTTTAAGGCCCAGCTCAATTCCTCTTTCCCTTCAAGCCATCCCTGGCCCACCTGCCCCCATACCTTCCCGGGCACTTCTAGAGGGTTCCCTTATTGTCTGTGTTTTACATGCCCTATTGGTCCTGACTTGTCATCTTTTCATAAGAATGGTTTATCTCCCTAATCACATCAGAAACTTCTGGCTGGCACGTGGGTGCCTTTGACTTCTTTGTACCTAGTACCAAAAACAAATAAACAAACCCACTGCTGTCAAGTCCATTCTGACTCATAGCAACCCTGTAGAACAGAGCAGAACTGCTGCACAGGGTTTCTAAGGCTATAAATCTTTACGGAAGCAGACTGCCACATCTTTCTCACGCCAAGCGGCTGGTGGGTTCAAACTGCTGACCTTTCAGCTAGCAGCTGAGTGCTTTCACTACTGTGCCACCGGGGCTTACTGTATCTAGTACAGTTCTTGACAAATAAGAGATGCTCAGTATGATGTGTCACGTGTGTCCCAGAGAGCTCACCACAGTTGATGAGACTGAGATTCCCAGAGGCAAGATTCTCAGCACTTTCACTCACAAACGTGGCTTCCCACCAATAATAAAAGCACCCTTCCCCTCAGTGACTTAGGCCCTTCTCTAATTCAAGTCCATTTTGTTATTAGTTGGCACTAAACAGTCCCTGTTCTGGATTTCCTCAAAGCCCTACACTTTCTACTCCAACGGCCCTCATGCCCAAGCAATCCTTGTGCTGAGATGTGCATCCAATCAATAGACAAATCTTCAGGCCAATGCAATGTTCTCTCCTTGTACAAGGACAGGTCCTTGGATGATCAGGTCCTCAGTCTGTTCCTCTGGAGAGGAAAAACAATAGGGTGTGGTAGGGAGAAAAGTGTTAAGTCCCAGCCAAACATGTGTCTCCTGGAAAAATCACTCAGGCAGCTAGAGCAAACAGGTATGGCCATTCCACTAGCTCTGGGCAGGACTTTGCACCCATGCAAGGCTGCATAGTACACAGGATGCCACCCGGTGCCATCTGTCCAGGAACCAGCATTCATTTGGGAGCGCTTGTACAAAAACATGCAACAAAGCATAGCAAAAGCAATGGAAACTATGATGTGACCATTAATATGCATCCACAGGAATACTTTGAAAAGGGAGCCTTGTTGAGGGGTCTTACTCAAGGAATGTCTTAGTGTACTGGCAGCCCCTGATACAGTGTCAAAGAGCAATGAGACACATTTGCTGTACATTTCTGTTTCTGCCCCAGGGCTCTGTGCACAATCACCCCCCTCCTTTCTCTCCCAGGACACGCAGCCAAAACTGTAGCCCTCGGTTCTGCACGTGACTTGCCTTAGGTTCTTTGTTGGCCTTGAGCACTGGAGGTTGCTCCGAAAACTCCCCCACCATCCACAGGCTCCTCTTTTGTTCATTAAGTCCAACTTCCACGTTCTATTCCTTATGCCTTATGGAGAGGGAGGAGAGCTACACTCAGTCAAGGTTGAGGAGGGAGGAGAAGATTTTGCAATTCAACTGCTAATTAAGGAAGTAGAACCACCCTGAAGAAGCTAGTTTGCACTGACCTATTTAAAATATCTAGCCTCAGACTGTGCATGAGTTGAGGTACAGCCCTTTTACACATTAGCCAACTGGCTTGCTTTCAGAGCAGCAGCTATCAATAATTCCATGCTGAGGACCATCTGATAGGAAATCAGCCACTGGCCTCTGGAATGCCGGCCTTCCCCACTGCTCTGTTTTCCCAGTTGTCAGCTCTGTTTATAAATTGTCCATTTATAGCAAATCCAGCACCTGCTATGAACACCTCATCCTGCCAAGTGTTGGAGTGCATCTCAGAAAGAGCCACTATAGACTTGGTCCGCTCCTTTTAAACTTTTCCCAACCCAGGAGTTTGAATATTTGCATAGGAATTCTGAGGGAGGACTTATTCTATACCAAAAAGGCTATGCAGTCTATTAAAAGTTAGCATTTTGCTCCACTGAAAAAAAAAAGAGCAAATGATCATTCTCTTGGGAGACACAATGCTCTCTTTCTGAGCAAGTCTGACTTTGGGATGCATTTAAAATAACCCCTGAAAAATTCAGCTGGGTAAAAAATGCTCTGGAGGAGAGTTAAGGAGGGAGGTTTTCTTTTTAACTCTATTATGTAGCTTTTTAGCTCACGGTCAACACCACCACTTAGCAGATAATGCTGCCTGCTACTGAAAAGCATTGTGTAAAATATATTTAAAGATACCCTCCCAATACTGGAAACCTAATATCTGACCTAGATTTTTGTTGTGCTTGTTTGTTTTTTTGGTTTTTTTCCCTTACCAATAATCATTTGCAAATTGCCTGGAATGAATTTTCAAAGTTCCATCTCTCTTCCCCACACCTAAAATATTTCTGTTAGTTTTGTTCTTTAAAAAATCAAATAAAATCATTCATGGAGTAGGGGTTCATGGTTTCTGGAGGATTGTCAAGGTTAAAACAGAATGTTGTGGTGGACAGAAACTTGCTGAGTAACCTTGGGAAGATTTGGCGACCCCTTGATGCTTCAGTTTACACATTCCCACAATAATCCTTCTCATGCATAAGATTGTCACCCTTTAAAGCCTCAGAACGAGACCCTGATTAAGACCAGAAGCAGCTGAGCTGAGCCAGTGGCATTCCAGATTCCCAGCCCTGCATTCAGCCAAGCAAACACCCAATGAAGTCTCTGGGTGGCACAAATGGTTAAGCACTCAACTACTAGCCTAAAGGTTGGCATTTTGAACCCACCCAGAAGCATCTTGGAAGACAGTCCAGGCTATCTGCTTCCAAAAGATCACAGCCTTGAAAACCCTATGGAGCACAGTTCTACTTTGACACTCATGGGGTCACCATGAGTCAGAATCAACTCAATGGCAACTAACACCGACAGCAACAGGACCTAATACTGCTAAAAACGTTGGGGGGTCTCTGGATAAAAGACCATCGATGTGAAGTTATTGTCACTAGTGGGCCACCAAAGTCAGGTGGTCTTGATATCAGAAAAAGCAAACGTGATTCAAGAAATGGCATTAGAAGGGATGTGATAAAATGGCCTTCACAAACACGTGCTCCAGGCAATGAGTTTTCCCTTGCACACAGGTCATGTGTCCTCAGCAGGCCAGTTCGGGATGGCTTGTAGTTTTTTGTTGCCATTTATATAGATCAAACTAACTTTAGATTACCTAAAAAACCAAAAACTAACTCAAACTCATTGCCGTAGAGTCAATTCCAACTCAGATTACCTAGTCATCATTTATTTTTTCCAAAATGAAATTGTCTTTAATCAATTACATACTACTGCAGTGTAAATTACTCTCGCCTGTTTTGTGGCCATTCAATGGCTATCTGGTTTACCAACCCGGATCTTTCACTCATCATGAAAGTCAGGCCTCATGACTTGAAATGATCTCTGAGGTACCCCTGCTGGAGAAAGACATGCGCAAATTAAGAGACTACAAGCCAGTTTGAAAACCCAGTGATTCCTTCCCGTAAATCTGTGTCCTTAATATTAAAAATCATTTGGAGGTGCTGAAAAGAGAACTCATAGCTACGAAAAACTACTCTCCTCAGGGAACACATTCATAGACGAGAGGGGTTGTGCAGATATAAATCCATATTCTGCTACCAAAAATAGAAAAGAGGAAACCTTTGAAGCCAAAGAAGTTCTAAGAATAACTGTCAGCAAAGAACTAGAGCCACATGGACAGGAAGCAATGCTCAAGTGGCAGTTTTGTGCCGCCTTTTTTTCTCCCCGGTAGCGTTTTGCATTCATCCTGTTAAAAAGATAGCTTTCAAAGGCTTCCCTTCAACAGAGACACATACGCCTTCACAGCCGGCCTCTCCACAGCAACTCGGGGGCCTCAGCACTGACCTTAGCTTCCACACAGCCCTTCGGTTTGGTATTATTTCCCCCCACGGATCATTTCAATCTGTTTAAGGGTGAACAGTGAATCCTTCATAGACAACATTACACAGAGAACCATCAATAGGAAATGGTTGGCTGAGCAAACACTCGTTTCCTGTTTTGCTTTTAATAATTTTCCATTTCAACTCAACCTCGCTTTCATCCTTTTTTTTTTTTTCTTTTCTTTTTTGGTAGTCGTGAAAATCAATGCACCAAACCAATGAGGTTTGTTTTACCTTGTGTGCCTTAAATGAGGCTATTTGAAGGTACACGTGAATATATCTTACATAATACTTTCGAGTTATAAGAGGTTCTTTGGAAACAAGAGGGTGAGCAGCCTTGGAGAGGCCTGTTGGACAGCTGGAAAAAAGCAGAGGGTGAGAGGCTTACTAGATGGAGATCAGGTTGGTGGGTAGTGATGAGGCAACCAAAAGGTGACAGAATGGGAAATAGGGTATGGAGGATAAAGGCGATAAATAAGACACTGAGGAAGATGGGGCAGAGCTTCTGCTAGTCCACAGGTGCCTTTATGCGAATTAGGAGGAGGCACCCCTTCTTCTGAGCTCACATAAACCTATGTGAGGGTGCATGCTAGATTTCAGCCCCCCTATTCCCTTTGGGGCGCCCTGGTAGCACAGTACTAGGTGCTATAGCTGCTAACCAAAAATTCAGCAGTTCGAATCCACCAGCTGCTCCTTGGAAACCCTCTGGGGCAGTTCTACTCTGTCCTATAGGGTCGCTATGAGTCAGAATCGACTCGATGGCAACGGGCTTGATTCCCTTTGGCTAGCTGCCCTTCTGCAAGGCAAAACCTGCACCATAGCACCTGACGAGGCCCTGGAAGAATGCGGGTAAGAGATTTAAAGGCCCAAAGGTAGGGGGAGCTTTAGAAGTACAGTAAGTCCCCAGAGTTACGAACTTCCAACTTACGGAAAACTCACTAGTACTTGCCCTTGAATGTTATGTAAATATGCCCTCACTTTGAAATGATTGAACCAACCCCTACTTGCAACAAATTCTTCATCACAATCCCCTTCACTTGCTGCACGTGCAGCCCTGAAATCACTGAAAAGGCTTCGAGCTTTTTCTTGCACTAAAGTAAGCTAAATAAAAATCCTAGGCACCTGTTCCGACTTACCTGCAAATTCAACTTAAAGGCACGCTCAGGAACTGCCTGTAGTGGAAAAAAATAAAATAAAAGGAGTCTCAGATGTTTCTGGTAGCGTACAGGAAATCCTGTTTTGAATCATAGAACCTTGCTGGTGGCTGGGGGTAGGTCAGGACCGTTGACAAAATTGATTTCTCCAAAACTGTTGTTTCGTTTGCATCAAAACACCCCAGTGGTGCAATTTATCCTCTGTCATATTTCATATGATGCATGTATCATTCATTTTTAGGGAGCTTTGTGTTAAGCACATTCGTGAATATCTTCCAGGATTACCACAATTTATATATATATATTTATGTCAGGATCAAATCTGTGCCTAGACACAAATTGCCCTGACCAGTTATAATCAGAGCACAGCCCTCAACCAAGACACAGAGAACATCTGAATTTCATAGGATGAGCAGTTAGGGATACTTAACTGCCTTTATCTCACTATTTGTTTTACTGGAACAACTGGTGAAATTCAGCCAAAAGAAGAAAAATAATAATCCTCACCATCCAGACAGATTGTGTTTTCAAGGTAATGGCCTTGACTTATACTATAACCCCTCACCAACTTGCTCGAGTCAGGCCCATGAGTTACATCATGGTCAACAAAATTGAAGGTGACAAAAATCAAAGTCTCATATACAATAGAGATTTAGGATCCCTAGTGGTGCAATGGTTAAGCACTTGGCTACTAACTGAAAGGTTGGGGGTTTGAACCCATCCAGCGGCTCTGCGGGAGAAAGACATGGTGATCTGCTTCTGTAAAGATTACAGCCTAGAAAACCCTATGAGGCAGTTCTACTCTGTCACTTGGGGCTGCTGTGAGTCAAAATCAACTCCTTGGCACCTAACATCAACAAGGGAAGAACAGGAAAACATGGCATTGCATTATCTCTCTTTAAAACACAATTGATAAAAGTTCTAAATGGTTTCTCTTCCAAAACAATCAAATTCATGGGCTTTAGAACTAGACCTGGTAGGGCAGTGTTCTTTTCAGAAACACTGTGGCCGTTTTACCTACTTAGGCAGGTTTTCCCCCACATTCACACAGTGCAAACTGTATTTATTTTTTAATGTTTTTAAACTAGCTTCAAATGTAATATCTATCAGGGACGGATTACCTAATAAGCAAGGTACACACGGGTTTATTTGTGTTCACTTACTAATCTGCAGTGAACAATTTCACCTGTTTTTCACTGTGAAATTGTGCACTACAGATCAGTAAGTAAACACAAGTAAGCCCATGTGTACCTTGCTAACTATAAACTTAGGCATACCTTGCATACTGGTTCATCTATCCCTGAATATCTTTTGCATTTAACGTTCGTCATTGCTTCAGTTTTTGAAAGTTTCAGCTAAATACTTGAGTAACCAGCAGCCTGGGTTTTTCACTAATTACTGCCGTGCTTAACTCAGGCATGCTTTGCTGGACCTTCCATTCTTATGTGGAGAGAGTGTCATGAAAGTAAATCACCTCTCACCACACTTTTCGAGAACCAGTCATGTTGTCTATGGAGCAGGGGGCAATGATTATGGTGCTTTCTGTTTTTCTGCTTAAGGAAACTACCTGACTGGTATGGGAAAAAAAAAAAAAAAAAAGTGCTTCAAAGTTTTGGTATGCAAACGTTAAAACTATATTAAGTCAAAGCCTCAGTTGGCAAAACTAAAGGTAATGAAATATAGTAATTGTGCGAATGCTTTTTGTTGCATTTTAAATTGCAAGTTCTCTAGTAGTGACTGGAAAAAAAAAAAACCCTCTAAGTGCCCTTTCTGAAGGGTTTTTTTAAGCAAATCTTTCTTCAGTGGCAAACAGAGTCTGGCCCAGCTTTTGCTCAGGCGCTGGATCTTCATTCAGTGACTGTGAGAGAACAAATTAATGTTTAAGTAGCAATTTACAGATTTTATAGTTCATCAACAACTCTTACATGCACCATCTCATTGAATCTTCATAAGAGTCCTTTGAAGTAAGTATGATTTTGTCATCACCAATTTGTTAAATGAGGAAATTGAGAATTCAGAGAATCTGAGTGATTCACCCAAGGCCAAGGAAGTAACAGAAGCAGGACTCAATCCTAAGTTTTCTGGCTCAAACCAGTGATCTTGCTAATATACTAGCTTTCTGGTTCAAACTGAGACATCTCCTTATAACCTTTTGTCTTATGGACAAGTCTATTTCTAGGATAACAAGCATTCAGTCATCTTGACTGATGATAGAATTGGGAATGATTTATTCTAGCAACCTCAACGACTTAGTTTTTTAACTGTATTTTATATTCTAAAGATGCTGGTCTATAGATCTATATTCTCTGTTGCTATTGACCCATGTGTGTAATAGTCAACTTAAAAGATCAATCACATCCATGGAATTATAAAGCCAATAGCAATATTATTAAAATCATGCTTCAAACAGGACAGATTTTGCTTGGTTTTGTTTTGGTTGGCTTTCGCTGGTTTGGAGAGTTTGGGAGTGTGATGTTTATTTTAATATGAAAGCATTTAAGGAAGTTTAGGTAGTCTTGCGAAGTACTCATGGTCTTAACCAACCAGTTGCCATGGAGTCGATTCCAACTCATGGCAACCTCAAGTGTGTCAGAATAGAACTATGCTCCATAGAGTTTTCAATGGTTAATTATTTGGAAGTAGATTGCAGACCTTTCTTCTGAGGCACCTCTGGGTGGACTCAAACCTCTATTTTTTCAGTTAGCAGCTGTGATGGTTAAGATTGTGTGTCAACTTGGCTGGGCCATGATTCTCAGTGTTTTAATGTAATCACTCCCATGATTGAATATACTGTGAGTAGCCAATCAGATGAAAGGGAGTCACCTTGGGGTGTGGCCCACATCTGAATATAAGCAGACATTCTGGCTTTTTGCTCCCTCTGGATCCTGCGTCTTTTTCCTGTTGTCTCATCTCCTGTTCTTGGGACTTGAGCCGTCAGCTTATCTGCTGAACCTGGGATTTGTCAATCTGCACAGCCTGTGAACGGGAGCCTTGCTCTCCAACCTGCCAATCTTGGGCTTGCAGCTTCTGCAGCTGTATGACTTGGAATAGGCCTCTACCCTGATCCATGGGCTTGGGACGTTTTAGCCTCTACAATCGCGTGAGTTGTTTCCTTGATATAATCTCTCTGTATATATATATATTTATACACTTTACTGGTTTTGCTTCTGTAGAGAACCCAGCCTAAGACAGCAGCGAAGAATATTAACCATTTGTACCACCCAGGGACTCCACTCTTGGTCTAGGCCAATTGTAAAGATGGGTCTGTAGTGGATCAGTTTTCATTATTTGAGCACCAAAATCCAGGGGAGAAGATAGTCTAGTGTCCTGGTTCCCCAGCTAGATCAAAAACTTGAATGTTTAAAGCATAATGTCCTTCTTCATGCAGTTCCTCTGCCAAATTCATTTTGGAGAACTAAGATCTTAACTGATTTCAGTTAGTAACACCCTCTGAGTTTTCTGCAGGCATAATAATACATGTCTCTCCTAATTCTAATTCAGATTCCTGATTAAAAATGAAACGATTTTTAAAAATTAATAATACCTTGCATTTACCATTTCAGGTGCCTGAAACCAATTTAATGGGCTCCAGAATATCATAGTCTCAACTTGTCTAATAACTGATAAAATACTTCGGGAAGTATCTTAGTTATCTAGTGCTGCTATAACAGAAATACCACAAGTGGATGGCTTTAACAAACAGAAGTGTATTCTCTCACAGTCTAGGAGGTTAGAAGTCTAAATTCAGGACACCAGCTCCAGGAGAAGATTTTGTCTCTCTGTCAGCTCTGGAGGAAGGTCCTTGTCAGCAATCTTCCCTTGTATCTAGGAGTTTCTCAGTGCAGGGAACAAGAGTCCAAAGGACCACTCTGCTTTCGGTTCTTCCTTCTTGGTGGTAGGAGGTCCCTCTCCTCTCTGCTCACTTCTCTCTTTTATATCTCAAAAGAAATTGACACAAGATACAACCTAATCCTGTGATTATGTCCTGCCTCATTAACATAACATTTACATTTTTAATGCCTCTAA